TGCAGGCTGGATTTAGAAGAGGTCGTGGTATTAGGGATAGGGATATTATAGCTAATGTTAGATGGATCTTGGCAGAAAGCAGAGAATACCAGAAGAATGTCTGTCTGTGCTTCATTGACTATGGAAAGGCTTTTGACTGTGTGGATCACAACAGGCTATGGCTGACTCGGAGAAGAATGGGAATCCCAGAACATTTGATTATGCTAATGAGAAATCTGTACTTGGACCAAGAGGCAGTCATCAGAACAGAGCAGGAAGACACTGAATGGTTCAAAATCAAGAAAGGGGGTCTGTCAGGGATGTATTTTGTCTCCATACCTTTACAATCTGTATGCAGAACAGATCATCCAAGATGCTGGGCTGTACGAGGAGCAATGTGGCATCAGGATTGGTGGAAGAGTCATCAACAAACCTGCAGATGACACAGCCCTGCTTGCTGAAACTGAAAAGGACCTGAAGCGCTTGCTGCAGAAGGTCAAGGACTGCAATCTTCAATATGGATTGAAGCTCAATATCAAGAAAACAAAGATTCTCACCACTGGGCCAATTGGCAGCATCAGTATGGATGGTGAAGAGATTGAGATAGTTAACAGTTTTCGTTTACTTGGTTCCACAGTCAACACTCTTGGTAACAGCAGCCAGGAAAACAGGAGACGAATTTCATTGGGAAAGTCAGCTGTGAGGGACCTCTCAAGAGTACTGAAGTGCAACGATGTCAGGCTGGAGACTAAGGTGCGCCTGATCTGGGCTGTAGGCTTTGCAACTACGTGCTATGCATCGGAGAGTTGGACAGTGAATAGGGATGATAGAAAGAGAATTGATGCCTTTGAGTTGTGGTGCTGGAGAAGAGTGTTGAATATACCATGGACTGCTAGGAGAACAAACGGGTTTGTCCTGGAGAGGGTGAAGCCAGAATGTTCCCTGGAGTCAAGGATTCTGAAGCTTCGTCTGACATACTTTGGGCATGTTTCAAGGAGGGACTGGTCCTTGGAGAGGGACATCATGTTTAGGAAAGTGGAGGGACGGCGCAGGAGAGGAAGACCCTCGATGAGATGGATCGATTCTGTGAGTGCAGTGGTGGGAAGGAATGTGTTTGAGACCGCAAGGTTGGCACAGGATAGAACGGCGTTTAGGGCTCTTGTACATCGGTCACTATGAGTCAAAAATGACTCGATGGCACATAACAACAACAACAACATAGTATATGTCCTCTAATGACTAAAGAGCTATCTGGTGAAAACACCATCTTGGAGACCAGCTGCAGGCACTTACTGATTTGCATGTTGTTATGTACTGTGTGTTGGAACCAACTCATAGCTCACCCTCTGGCAAGTTTGCAGAGGCAGCGAATCAGAGGAGAATCTCTTGAGAAGAAGCTGGCGAATTTGAATCATGTGCCTTTGGATTAGCAGCACAATCTCTCCTTTTCTAAAGATAACACTGCCTTTCCCTCCTAAAAGTGCTACATAAACATGAACTCTTTCTCATATCTTTAACTTACGTGTATCCCCTCACAACCTTTCTTGCTGAGATAGGTTTGGGAAGCTCATGCTTCCATCTCTTACACACTATCATATATACTAAAACTTATGCTTTTTCCTTTCCCACCCCTGTCTCCTGGCTTTTCTGGTAAAAAGTGGCAGAACTATGTTTTTCAAGTAAAAATCTTACTTCACATTTACATTATTATACGAAGTAATATGATTTCCTTTTCTTGAATAAGACTCAGGTTAAATAATACTCCTAAGGTCTTGTGAGAAGACAACTACAACCTTGAAGCCAAAACCTTTGTTCTTAACTATTGATTAATTACATATTACTGTTCAGATTAAATGCTATCTTTATAATATATTGTTGTTGTATGTCATCAAGTTGGAATCAACCCATAGCTAACCCTCCATCAGGTTTTCAGAGGTCATAATCACATGGGAAGAGATCACCCGTCCTTCTCCCATGGCAGCTGGTAGATTTGAACTGTATGCCATGGGCATTCCAGGGCAGATTCTTACCACTAGGCTACCAAAGCCCCCTATTTATAATATATGCCATATATGTACATAGGGGAGCTCTGGTGGCCCAGTAGGTTAGGAGTTGTGTTGCCAACCAAAAGATGATGACGAGTTTGAAGCCCCCAGCAGTTGTCTGGGAGAAAGACAGTCTCTTCCTATTGGGATGTACCACCTCAGAAATCTAATGGAGGGTTGCTATGAGTTAGAACCAATGACAGCAGTGAGTTAACTGGTCAGACGGTGGAACTCCCAAGCTCTCATGGACCTTTGAGCCTGAACTCAATTCTAATTTAGTCCCCTGAACCAACTCTCAGCTAAATAATAGAAAAGTGTGTACAGTGAATAATAAAACTGGAGGGTGGGGGGTGCTCAGTCCCTAAAACTATCAACCATGCAAGATAAAAAAAGGAGCATTTACCTAGGGCTAAAACTCAAAATGTAGGAAAGGGGAGAATGAAAGGATGGATGGAAACAAGAACTACAAGGAGGAAGTGGGAAGAGTGCTGTTATAATGGGGACATTGTAATCGATGCCATAAAACAAATTGTGTGTGAGCAGAGAAGTGCAAAATATATCTGCTCTGTAAATGCACTTCAACCACAATAAAGAGTACAAATAATTTTTTTTTAATTAGGTCTTTTTGGTGTAGTGGGTTTACTATTCAAAATGTCACTTTTTTTTTTGTCTACTGGTTTTACTTTCATCTTATCTTTGGGTGGAGATATGCACATAGGCTGTGCAGACTCCTAATGAGGGGATTGGTCTGTCTTACGACACCCTATGGGTAAAACAGAGAGAAGCTGAGAAGGGCACATTGGAAAAGCAACAGCAGAATCAAAGACCAGTCTGAGTCTGAGCTAACCAGGTCCTACTGCCCCACAGAAGCAGGGCCTTCACCCAAGCTTGTTGAAGGACTTGGGGAAAACACCAGGACTGGAA